GATACTAACCAATTCTTGATTCTATATACAGTTTTGTATTAAAAACCTTGTGATCCACAGAGAGAGGAATGGCTACGCCGTTATGGCAATGCACGGCACGTGAATCGCCGCATTTGGAAACAATGATCTTCTCCGGCGTGACAACAGAGACGACAGCGGTGGATACGTTCCTTATCATTCTTTAAGTTAGAGAATTTGAAGAAGTGATATAGAGGTAACTCCATGATTAAAATACATTATCATGGCCTAAGATTTAGAGGATTAAAGATGAGATGTATACCCGTTAGTGACATAGGGGTCAACACGGCGAAACATGACAAATTTAACCGGTAAATTTAAAAAATATTAAGAGATGATGCTATGTCATCGCTGGAGAAACTCTCTTCTGAGATTGGTTGAATATTTTTAAAAATAGAAATTCTATTTTAATGTAAAACAATAACATGTTACACAATTTATGTAGTTTTTAATTTGTGTGAAGAAGTTCAAACGTTAATTATATTTTGAAACAAAATAGTATAATTTATGGACATGTAATAAAACGATGTTTATCTCACACATGTTTAACCGACACAAAAATAAATTATTATAAATAAAGTATATACTTACATAATATATTTATTAAATTAAAAATAAGAAATCACACGCATAAATTATTTTGCAAATTTCTTAAGTTTCACTTATTACAAAAGAGCCAGCTGAATAATCCGTCGCAAGAACTTCGATGCACGATGTGTTTGTCATGAGAAAATTTGTTTTGGTTGCAGAATTTTTTGCAAGCATTCTCACATAAAGGAAGAGTTGCCTTTTGAGAAACTTTCATGCATTGATTCGGGACACAATGCTTAACACACACTTCCACCGTACTCGCATATGTTAAAACCATCATCGTAAATAAAACTACAATCATCAAACAACTGTACATCTTTTTCATTGCTTGAGTCGCCATTGAAGAGATGAGTTTATGGGTGTTCAAGAGTAGAATTTTTTTGCTTATGTTATATAGCGAAAACAAATTTAACAGCATGATTAGTGTTGAGTTGGCTTTATGTAGTTTTATACTTTATATAGCAAAAGTAGTTTTACCCTTTAAAAATTATTGTTTTTGGAAGTCTATCCGTTTTTTTTGGGGATCAATAAGTTAGTATTCTATTGTTATTCGCTGTCCAAACAATTTATCGTTCCAAATTCTTGTTGTCAAGAAACCTACCTGATTCGGTGTAAAAGTTCTCTTATTGATCAAGATCATAAACTTGATTTTAAAAGTAAAAATTTATCAAATTATGTATAAGTAATTAACTAATTACATATTAGATAATATCTCTCTTTGTAATTACATATGAGTAAACTTGATTATAAAAGTATAAATTATCGAACTTCTCAATTAGAAATCAAGGGTGAATGCTTCTACTACCATACTAAGAAGAGGTTTAGAAAAAAAAAAAAAAGGCAGGTGATTAAATATATATGAATCTCTTTAGGAGCAAACATGAACTAAGAGAGTACATGAATAGCATTTGAGAGCTCCGTTCTAGTCACCAAGATAATCAGAGCCAACCAACCAAACGACGATAACAATAATGGTCAGAAAGACACTCGCAAGAAACCATAACTAACTTACGATTTTGTTTGATCAGAATCAAGTTTAGCACCAAGAAGCCCAGTTTGAGAGATAAGTTTTAGATTATAATTTCTTTACCATAAACATATGTTGGAATGACATCGAGTACCCTAAATGCACAAAAAGTACTTCAAACATCCTTTCTATGAACCACGAACTTAAGTAATGTTTAATGAACTTGCAAAAACAAGAAGATCATAAATACAACAAGAACATGTAGTAAGAGATCACCATCGGCAAATTTAAAGGTGTATTCAGAAAGAGATTGTGTAAACTTTTATTCCTTAAGTGCAATAGAACTTTTATTCCTTAAGTTCAGTATGAAACTTCACCAACCAACAATGAGGAGTCTGTCGAATACCAAAAAGTTATTTATGTTGACAACAAACTTGAGACATAACTTGAAAATCGAGATACCTTTTTAGAAATTTTGAGGCATTGATTCGGTACACAAAGCTTAACAAACACTTCCAGTGTACTTATGTATGTTAAAACCATATCGTAAATAAAACTACAATTATCAATACACTACATATCTTCATCAATACACTACATATCTTCTTCATTGTTGGAGTCGCCATAACTTGAAATCGAGATGAGTGTGTGAGTGTTCTAGCATATTATAATTTTGTCTGTGTTATATAGCAAACAAATTTTTAACAAGATGATTATGTTGAGTTGGCTTTATGTACTTTAATAATTTATACAGTAAACATATTATAATTTTGTTTGTAGTTTTATCCACTTTTAAAAATTATTTAGTTTGGAAGTATAGCCGTTTTTTCTTTTGTTAATAAGGTAGGTTTCTATTGTTATTCCAAACAATGTATCGTTCCAAATTAGTATAATAATATATACACAAATGAGTAAATTAAACTTGATTATTTACCAAACTATATATAAGTAATTAACTAGTTACATATTAGCATAAAAGCATCGAACTTTTTGCGGCCGAAAGTTGTGGCCTATTAGTGAGCTGAACCGTAGTCAAAACATGTCTAGGGGAGATAATACCACGTATGATTGCATCTATACTAAAATGATAATCAATTTTAGTAGGAGTTTTGACTTCTCACGAAACACCCGGATTTGCGCTGAGATGGATAACTTATTTAGTTGTCACAGAAATAACGAACTTGACGTCGGACAAAGATGGGCCAATTGACCGAAAGAAAACATGTAATGACAGTCGGAACATTACAAATTTATGGACATGTAATATAGCAATGTTTGTCTCACACGTATGTCAAAATTCTAAAGTTTTTAGTGAATAAATCGTGAAGTGATCATCACCATAAAATTTAATGGCTTTTGACAATTTCAAACTCAAATAATCAAATTTTGTTTGTAAGATCGAAACCGACACAAAATAAATTATTAGAAATAAATTAGATACTTACATAATATATTAATTAATTTAAAGATAGGAAATCAGACACATAAATTATTTTACGGATTTCTTAAGTTTCAGTTATTACATAGTAACCCAAAAAATCCCTCACATAAGTCTCCAGGAGGCATGGTGTAGTATTTCTCATCAGAAAATTTGTTTTGGTTGCAGAGCTTTTTGCAAGCATTCTCACATAAAGGAATAGTTGCCTTTTTAGAAACTTTCATGCACTGATTCGGGACACAATGCTTAACACACACTTCCACCGTACTAGCGTATGTTGAAACCATCATTGTAAATAAAAGTACAATCATCAAAACACTGTATATATTTTTCATTGTTTGAGTCGCCATTATTTGAAGAGACGATTTTGTGAGTGTTCAAGCCTATTAGAATTTTGTTTATGTTATATAGCAAAAAGAAATTTAACAGGATGATTAGTGTTGAGTTGGCTTTTTGTAGATTTTTACTTTATATATCAGAAGTTGTTTTATCCAACTATAAATTATTTATTTTGGAAGTCTATCCGTTTGTTTTTTTTGGTTATAACCAAACCGTTATTTTTGGTGCATTTTTCTTATTAATTAATAAGTTAGGTTTTTTTTGTTTATGTTATTGGTTGTCCAAACAATCCTTCATTCCTAATTCTTGTTGTCAAGAAACCTACCCAATTTGGTGTAAAAGTTTTAGATTATACTTTCTTTACTATTAATACATGTTGTTGGAAGGAAATCTGAGTATCCAAAATGAACAAATTACTTTAAGCATTATGTGAATTAGTAATTTTAGTACTATTCAAAATGATGCGTAAAAATGATGAGATATTATAATCACGTGACTAATAAAATTTTCGTAAATTCGATATATATTGTCCTCGTTATCTCTTCCACATCGCTAAGAGAATTTTCTTTTTAATTTTTTTTTTCTTCAATCATTTGTTAAAACTAATCCAATCGGTTCTCTTGCTGACCATTAATTTATGGGCTAGCGGTTTTCCAGCATGTATTATTAGCGGCTTTAGAATGTTTATTAAAGAGGAGGGCAATATCGAGATATCTAAAATTTCTTTTTTGTCACTTTGTTCATAACAATAATATTTTTGCGCTCTAATTTATCGAATCAACGCTCTTTAAAATACGAATTTCAAATTTTGAATATTTTTTAGTTTGAGTACTATTAGAGAGGAAAAATTTAATAGTTCATGTATTGTTTAGTACTGAGCAAAAAAAGTGTGTATATTACCAAGTGTCGTTAGCTCAACTGGTAAAGACCCTAGGCGAAACTTAGAGGTCGCCGGTTCGAGTGACGCTTGGGACGAAACTAATATTACATGATGTGGTTTCGGGGCTGAGGGATTACGGGCTTTGGCCCAGAACCTCCTGGTATTAAAAAAAAAAAAAAAAAAAAAGTGTGTATATCTCTAAGAATGTTATTTAATTGCAAAATAATTTTAAGAATGTTATTTCTTTAACATAAATACATGTTGGAAGGATGCCAACATTCTTCATTTGAAAACACCAACTTAAGAAGAAAATGAACTTTTAACATTTATTTTTGTTATTAGGTTAGGTTTCTATTGTTATTCCGAACAATGTATCGTTCCAAATTCTTGTTGTTAAGAATTCCGTATACAAGTTTTCTTATTGATCAAGATCTTAAGCCTTTTCCTTATATAGACAAATGAGTAAACTTGATTACAAAAGTATAAATTACCAACCAAATGACGATAACACTACAAAAAAAGATTACATTGATAGCACTTAAGCATAGCACGATTTTCGATTTTGCTATGAAAAAGACTACGTCGGATTGGAATACTCTATTATAGCATTTTATAAATGCTATGCCGAATTTTTTTTTGGTTTCACGCCTATCTTTTAAGTGCCCGCTTAAGTGAAAAACAAGCGGTTCATTTTCCCTCTTAACACTTAGGGAAAAAATCCTCTATCTCTTCTATTCTCCAAGTCTCCATCTCCAAACCCTAATTTCAATTCACCTTATTGGCTGCAGAGCTTTCTGGATTCACAAGCTCAGCTTCAGGAATTGCATTGGAGCGAGAAGATCGGATTCTCGTCGGATTGAATTCCACCACTGGAAGCGGAATCTTCGAATATCCGATGAGATTCGCGTCTTCTTCCTCAGATCGTTGAAGAAACAGTTTCTTGCGTCTAGGCTCGTCGGCTTCCTTCGATTCCGGCGATGGACGTTTCACGGGGCTGGTAGTTGAGGTGGTTGAAGAGGAGCCGAAAAATCCGAAGCTGAAGATGGTGCCAGATACTTCGTCGACGACTTCAATCTCTCTCTCTCGACCGCCGCTTTATCCCTCTCAGTCTCCCTCTCTCTTTTTCCCCCTTTCCTTCGATTTTGTCATAAACCCTAATTTTACTTCTTTATTTCGTCTTGTTTTTGCTACAGGTTATCCTAAGAGATTCAAATCGAGAAGGGAAAAAATCTCTGAGCTTCTTTTCTCTTGTAGAGTGAATCGATGCATCAGATGCGACCATCTCGAGCTTACGATTCCTGGGGACGACGAAGAGGGAGAGGCTAATTTGGGATGTGGAGTCGCCGGTGATGATGGTGTTACGAGGGTTGATGTTGATGAAGATTATGAAGAAGCTGGTGGTAGTAAAGAGAGCAAAGCTAATAGATTATAGATGAGGTTTTTGATCTAAAATCGCAATCAAAAATCTTTGTTGATTCCATTGATGTGAAGCTTGATTCTGATTGTTTCTTGTTCTTGTGTTTGCAGCCAATCTCGGTGTTGCTCGAATCCTTGAGAAAGCTTCAATTGATGTCTTTGAATTTGGATATTCTTAAGGTCGGTCTCTAGTGGATTAGTGTATGAAGTTTGTTGTTGTTGATCTTAAGGTTTTGAGATTCTTCTTTCAGAGTACTGAAATCGGAAAGGCTGTTAATGGTTTGAGGAAACATGGGTTTTGATAAGATTCGCCAACTCGCAAAGAGTTTTATCTTGTATGAGTTTTATCTTTCGTTAAAGAACACGAAATTTGGCAATTTCTTTACTCTTTTAAATGTGCCATTAAGGTTTTCATGTGTATATGCAGTGAATGGAAGGAGTTGGTAGCAGAAACTCAAAGCTTTTGATGCAGACGCAAGAAGTGAAAAGCTCCAGGACCTTAACAAGAAGTGAGTGTGGGAATCAAAGAGTTTTAGTCGTATTCTTGAGCAGGGAAGTAACGACGGTTTTAATCCTTCTTTGTTCATGGCAGAAACTCAAAGCTCTTGATGCAGACGCAAAGTTCCAGTTTGCTAAGAGGAAACTTCAAGCGAGCTACCAACAACATGAGAACGGTTTGTTCCTTTACCTCTTGTGATTTTTGACTGTGAACATTTGTGTTTGCAGGTAGATTCAGGCTGGGACATTGATGAATAACTATGCACATATATTTGATGCAAAACCTCTAATAGGTTTGCCTCAGCAGGACCTCTAAAAGGAATTCTCAGGTATACAGATGAAGATGTTGTATCTCTTCTTTTTCTTCAAAGTGATATGAATATCCTGAGTTTTGGCTTTGTGGTTGATTTCGATTTTGTTGTAATAGGTCAAGTATGTTTGATGCCAATGATGGGATTCATTGAGCAAGTCCTTTGGCCAATATTTTGTTACTGTGATGAAATGACAAATCACGAGCTGATGATGGCGGGGAACCACGATATCTCGTTTAGGCAGGAGCAATATATGGAAGCTCGACAGAATTATGAGCATTTTAATTTTATTTCCATTTTTTTTGTAAAACTTTGATCTAACTCTTTTGTTGGTTTGTAATGTTAACAATTATGTAAACATATTTTGTTTAAGTTTAATTGTCTTTTCATTTTAATATTTTCCGAAAAAATAGCTTAAAAAAAAAACAAAATTGACCAAAATATATAATATAAAAGGATTATTATATTTAATATATACCTAACTAATAACAACAAATAAATGCTATTAAAGGTAGTAATGGCATTCGATTATTGCTATGAAACAATAAATAAAGACATTAAAAAAGTGCTATTGTAGATGAACATACTATAGCAGACAAAATTAATGCTATTGTAGGTGGGGTATCTACCATAGCTGCCGCAATCATATCAGTTGTTATTTCGCTATGTATTACCTATGATAGCATTTTTTTCCGCGCTAAGAATGTAAGTTTTTCTTGTAGTGTAATAAGAACGGTCGGAAAGACACTCGCAAAGCAATGATAGATAACTTAAGATTTTGTTCGATCGGTTTAGCACCAAGTAACCCGGTTTCATAGATATTTTTTAGATTGTACTTTCTTTACCATAAACACATGTTATTGGAAGGACATCGAGTACCCTAAATGGCCAAAATTTACTTCAAGCATCCTTCAAATGAAAACACGAACTTAACTAATATTTGAATTTTTGAATGATGGTTGGAGAACTGCAAGAGACAATAAGATCATCAATATATACAAGAACATGGTGTCAGAGATCACCATCAGCATCATCAGCACATATAAAGAAGTATATAAATAGAGCTTGTGTAAAATTTTATTTCTTAAGTACAGTAGCAACTAGCAAGCTTCACATACCTTGATTTATGTATAGAAGATAAACTAGAGACTTCTCATCAGTACAAAAACTTGAGGTAATAGATAGCTTTTAACTTCTCGAACAATACATAAATATTTGACTATTTTCCTTTAATGATTAGACTATCAAATTTGAAAGTAAAAACCTAGGGAGAGAGGAGAAAATTTGAGAAGAGCGGCATGTTTCAACCTACGGTTGGAGGCTTCCACATCTCCGCCGTCAGTTGGATTAAGGTTTTATTTGTTTCGCTTTAAGGTTTTAGTGGTGATGAGATCCTTTATCATAGCCATCTTTTGATTTCAGAAATCGGTAAAGAGGAGAATCAGTGATGTGTTCGATAAATCCATAAGCAAAGACTCTTGGCGACAGCCCTCCGGCTAATCCTTCATCTTTGGTGATGGGTTCAAAGACCATGAATACCTCAACGTATGTTGTTTATAATTTAGTTGGGTTATGGGCTAAATTGTGGGTGAGTGTTTCCTATTATTTAGGTGTCACTTATTGTTTGTTTACGTTTATTTAAGTTGTTTACGTCTCTGAAACTTGATATGAAGAGAAATTTGTGTTTAGAAAATAGTTTTAGTGTTCTTGTAACACAACTATTTGGCTTTGAAGAGGGACCACCTATCATTTGGCCTTGTCTAACATTATCGAAAATACTTTTTTCTGTTATATTTGGTGGTCCACTGTTTGGGCTGAGTCTTTGTCATAACTTCTTATGAACTGATTGGATGATGAATAGTTGTATTAAGAAAAATATTAAGAAAAAAACAGTTCAACAGAAAATTCTCTTAACGGTTGGAAAGATGACGAGGACAACAGCGAATTTAATTTTTTATTAGTCACGTGATTATAACTTCTCACCTTTAAGCGTCAAGTTGAGCAAATGATAAACTTCAACAGAAATGGATACAAAAATAAATTAGTAAAAAACATTTACATAATTACATATAAAATTTATTAAAAAGTACATACTTACATGATATATTAATTAATTCATAGATAAGAAACACATACACATAAATATCTATTATTTTGCAAATTTCTTAAGTTTGCTTCTTACATAGAAACCAGAAAAATCCATCGCAGTAACTTCGATGCGCGATGTATTTCTCATGAGAATGGTTGTCTTCATTGCAGAGTTTTCTGCAAGCATTCTCACATAAAGGAAGAGTTGCATTGTTAGAAACTTTCATGCATTGATTCGGAACACAATGCTTAACACACACTTCCACCAAATTCGCGTATGTTGAAACCATCATCGTAAATAAAACAACAATCATCAATACACTGCATATCTTTTTCATTGTTTGAGCTGCCATTGCTTGAAAGTTGAGATGAGTTTATGAGTGTTCAAGCCTATTAGAATTTTGTTTGTGTTATATAGCAAACAAATTTATAACAAGATGACTACGTTGAGTAAGCTTTATGTAGTTTATATACTTTATATAGCAGAAGTTGTTTTATCCAATCTAAAATTATTTATTTTGGAAGTCTATCCGTTTTTTTTGTTTATTAGTTAGTGTTTCGATTGCTGTTGGCGTCCAAACAATATATAAATCGTCTTTGATTTCTAGTTATAACTTAGTTTTTCTGTTGTTTTGGCCATTCAACAATAACTAATTTTTATCATAACACATCTAAATGTCATTTCGCTTTCTTTTTTTTCGTAACTAGATGATTGATGTTACTATTTTAATAATGTGGAATACATAAGCTAGTAAGCAGTTTTATTACTGGAACTGATAATTATGGGTTTATTTTACTTTTTGTCGGTATGAAGTCCGATAGAGTTCTGAATAAAAAGTCGAAACACGGCTGGAATCGACCCACATTTCACAGATCTTTTAAGGAATTAAGAATACATGAAGTCGGAAGCACTAATGTGATTATAGTCCGAAGGTTAAAAATGTGATTTTCCCTTTCCAAATCTACTAATAATCGGACTCACTTGAACCGAAGTTTTTCCAATAGGGACGTTGATTCTTTTTTGCCCAAATCGAATAGACTATGGATTGCCATGCGATTTTGCTGACAAGGCACACTCTCTTAAGCTTTGTGAACTCAAACGAAATGGAATGACTGAACAAGTGAACTGTGGTTTTAATTTATACTCCAATATACCAACGTCTGTACAATACTGTTGATCTATTTCTCTCTCTCTCCTAATATACTTTTTTTTTTCTCCTATTTCACCGGTGGTAACAAAATTTGGTCAGAATGAGTTTTTATTCGCGAAAATCTTCATATGGTGAAGATCCACTTGAATAACCACTTTCAAATGCAGTCGTCTCTCTTGGAGATGATGGAAGTGATTCTCTTTGCTGAGATGTTGAACCTAATTGGAAAAAAAAAACATATAGAAAAGCCGAGTTAATGAACAGTTCTTATTTGGGAACAGCTAAATGGCTTGGATCTTTTTTAAAGTATTTCAAGATATACGGTAAGAGTTGAGGGTTGTTTTACCTCTTTGAGATCTTGGACGGAATTTTTTAGTGTGCCGTCTGATGAGTCTCTTAGCTTTTGTTATAGTTAATTGCCGAGCAAAAGGAGAGAATTCTACATCGCTGTCACTCCAATCCCCGTGGAAGTCATTCTCCGCTTCACCTCTCATAGTTCTCAAGACGAATGCTTTAGCCTTGCGTCTTTGGGTATTGAAGAGTCCTCGAATAGAAGTAACAAATCCATCACCTGCTCCATCACTTTGACGCTTAAACCATGTGACTTGTTGATCAGGTTTCCCAGTTTGATCATTGTCGCTTAGATTAAGGTCATTGTCAGTAGACTCGCGATTGTTATTTGACTTGTCTTTGAATTTCTTCCCCTGAAAATTTGAATGGAAAGAGACTATTTTAGCTTCCTTATCATGTACACTTAACCTTAACATCATTTTATTTTAGAAGAATCAGAAAAGTGGATTGATGATGACTATTCACGCATGATATTTTCTGACCTGCATTCCAGTAACTGACTTCAATACTCCCCAAATTATGTGCTTCTTAACACGGGAAAAAAGCCTTCTCCAAGTCCCGGTAAACTCAACACGATGAAATGTATCCATCAACAATTTGAGGTCGTTTACAACAAATCTTGAGCCCTCATAAGTAACTAGAAGCTCCACCTGAAATGAAATTATGTAAACTGATTTAAGAAAATCAATTTCTGAGATTTAATTTAAAGTAGTAGTAGAAAGTAGCTCACTTACCTGACTAATTTTAATGTTGTGAAACTCCATCATCTTTCTAGGCCTAGACTTCTTCTCCTCGTGTGATTTTCCAGCCTTCTTTTCTTCATGAGAAGAGCGGCCAGACTTGACAGGTTTTATCTCTTTGACCTTCTGTTTAGAGGAATCCTCCTGTTGTTCAACAGAAGATGACACGGTGCAAGGGTGAGCTTGTAGAACGAGTTCATTAGCTACGGGTTCTGCCACATTTTCTTCCCTATCGAAAGAAGATGTTCTTCTCAACTCCGGAGCTGACCCACCAGTGCTAGTCCTGAGGCATAGAATATTTGATTTCTGCAAAGAGAATGCAAGTAAAATCAGAAAAAAGAATAACAGAAAATTCATTTAAAATTTAGGATAAAGGTGAAAGCCTACTTGAACAGAGTCAGCATTGCTTTGTGACTGCACTGCGGCAGAAGCAGAGAGAGCTGAAGAACTCATCCGAGCTGCTTCAACATCTTTAATGGCGTGTCCAGAAGATTCATGACCTACTAACCCTTTCTTTACACGTTTTGAACCAGCTGTTGTCGAAATTTTCCAAACTTCCTGCAGGACACAAGGAACCAATATAAACTTAATTTAATCAGATTTTCATCTAAATGCTAAATTGTGATGTGATTTGTGACCTGTCGACTTTGTGAATCCTGCTCTTCTTCTGGGAAGAAATACTCCCACATCATTCTGTACATTGTCTCTGTTAAATGAATTCTTAGTGGATAAATCTCCACCTACAAGATTTGCAGTAATTATCAGACAAATTTAACACTCACACAGAAAGCAACGAGAGTTCAGTTAAAAGATGTTGTAACACAGCCGGCTCAGTAACATAATATCCACTAATACTTGAATCGTATATTAATTATAACGGTTACGTTTACAAAATTCAGTAACGAACAAATGAAGAGAAAAAGAAAGAAGAAAAGATA